TGCCAGTTGGAATCAGACAGCACGTGTGAGCCAAAGGCTCATAGTTAATGAATGAATATCACCTCAGTCTTTTTTCTGATGACTACAGCATGTTTCCAGCTTTTAAACAGAGTGACCTCATATAACAGACTTTTCTTTCAGGATGATACACTGACCTACATGTACAGGAAGAAATGGGAAAAGTTTTTCACCACATCAACAATTCTTAAATGAAACTTAGACCCTTAATATGATTTAGTCTGATATTTTCATTCAGATTTTTTCTTACAAACACCAATATGTCCTTTTTTGCTTTCATTTTATTTGCTGGGTTTTGGATTTTTCATCATCCACCCTGGAACTCCAGCAAACTAGTAAAACACTTCCATAACGTGGGACTCACAAGACAGAGACTAAAAAAAGAAGCCAAGAGATCCTGACTCTTAGTCCCCATGGGTAACATCATTATGCATCTTGATAGCATCTCTCATTAGATTCTGCCTGCTAAGAAAACCCCCACGTTTCAAACTCCACACCCCCAGTCCACAACACAGGCTGTCTGTGAAAAATATGGTCGTCTCCGAGCCAAGCTAACCCTGATGACATCATCGTGACATCACTTTAGAAAGCTACCTCAAGGCCCCACAGAAGACCTTATACAACTGAACTAACAGACTGAGTGATTCCCCTTTCATGCATAGTGTGTCTGTTATGTACGCATTGTTACAACTTACGACTGGTACTCAACTACATTTTCATTGTTCATGTAGCACTGTCGGTGACACGTGCACACTGACCTTTTTCATTAGGTGTGATGTAGCTCGTCAGATGGGAGAGGACTGAAGTCAGAGACTGTGTGTACATGTTTTCCTGTGTGCCTATAGGTACAATCTAACCTCTGTACAAGAATCAGAAAAACACAACTTCACTAAGATTTGGCAAATCTATATAAATCCTAAGCAAAACAACTCAGTGTTTGAGGAGCTGAAATTTTTAAGAGTGAAATGCTGATTTCATTTGCTGAATCAATTCTGGCTTTTTTTTTTTTTTAAATACCACTTTCAACAAGTCACCATTTTAAATGTATCAATCTACACGGTAACCTTTGGACATCTCTTTTACCATAAACAGATGCAGACAGCCACACACACACACACACACACACACACACACACACACACACACACACACACACAACACACAAGACTGACTCATGAGCTCTTGTAATGGCAATAAAAGCAGTCTTCTTCAAACACACCCTTTTCATTAAGAGTCAGTTAAAGTGTCTGAGACGATGGGGAAATGAGTGGAAGGGAGGGAATGTGGCTTGAGTGAATGTGAGCAAGGGAGAGAAATTAAGAGAAAGAGTAGAAGATTTTAGTAAAAAAGGAGGAGGAGGATAGGAGGTTAGGGGGGTGGGATGGGATGGGATGGGATGGGATGGGATGGGATGGGATGGGATGGGATGGGAGGGAGATAGGCCTGGAGGAAAGAAGAAATAAAAGAGCCAGTAAATGTTCCCATGTGTTACTGGCATCAGAATGAAACTCCACATCTTGCAATAGAAGTGAGGAGATGAAAGCAAAGGATACTGAGTAAAGGAGATGTCACAGCAACACCGAACCTAACAGTCACTGAGGGAGTGGAGAGGATGGAGAGGAGAGGAAAGGAGGAGACTTATTAGGATGGAAGTGGCAAGGAGATGAGAGGTGGTGAAGGGAACGAGAAAAGAGGAAACAGTATGAGTTAAGAGGAAATGATAGGAGATGATGATTTCAGAGGCAGACGGGGAGAGACTGAGGAGTGAAGAGGAGAAGCGAACAGCACCGTGTGATATTTGGAAGGCTGGTGAATAAGCGTTCTGTCAGCACTGCCCTGAAAAACAAAGAGGCAGCTCCACAAATAGAAATAAAACAAAAGCAGAGTGCGTCCCCAAAGTAGCTTTCTCTCCTCCTCCGCCCATGTTGCTGCCACGTTTACGGGACAATCCGTCTATTCTTGGGAAAGAACAGCCCTGACAGCCAGACGGGAGCCAGGGAGAGACCAAGCACCCGTGGTAATAGCTGAGATTAACTTGTAAACAACATAGGGGAAAGAAAACGGCAAAAAAAAAAAGAAATGGGTGGGTAAAGTCATTAATGCTGCTTCAATGCACAATCTTAGGCTAATATTGTTTCTTTTCCTTTTTTTTTTTTTTAAAAACATGGTGATGATTGTGACTGGCTTCCCAGGAGAACTGACTTGTATTTCAATATTCTATTCAACCAAGTCACACCTGCTACCCAGACGATAAGATTTTCCGTGACGCCACAAAAGACATCATTATCATTGTGACTGTTTGTGTTAGTAACTGTTCATCTTTAAGAGCATGTTTTTTTCAACTTTTTAACTCACGAACACTTTCCCCATATCACCAACATCATCACAAATCCTGATTAAGTCTTACTTGTATTTACAGTGTCACAAAAACAGAAAATATATTAAAAAATACATGCGACTGGCATGATTTTTTTAAGAATCCTATCGTCACTGAAAACTGGAGAAAAAATTAGTGGTCTCACTCGTCATTAAAACTGAGCAAAACTTCCTTTACTCCCCACACTTTCAAACTCATCAAGTGGATGGTGGTGGGGGGGGTGCTCATTCATCACGGCTATGCTAAATGCTAAAAGTGACATCTAGTGGATGTGCAGTGGTTACTGCACTCTTTGCTCTGTCTCCTCAATATTCTAGGGGGGGGGTTGTTTTTTTTTTTTTTAGGTAAACGTCAAGATAATAAAATGTCACTTTTACTTTCATTTTTACTTTGACTTGAAAACAATTCATCTCAAAAACAATTCTCATCATTATGCAAGATGGCGAGAAAAAGATGATTTAATCTTATTGTGATGATGTTCTTGACGCAGAGGCTCTAATGTTGAGCTGACCAGTAAGGTCTTCTGCTTATTTAAAATAATAATGGAAATGCTGTAGCAAAACTTAGTTTATCTTTTAATACTTTTATTGATTAGAGTCAATTATTACTACAAATGTACATATTATTATCATTTATCACTTGTATAAAAAACATTTCCTGTACATTGGCACAACAACACTGTGATCAGTCCATGTGTTCAGGTTTGTCCTGTGTGTTGTTGTCTGTCTCTGTGCTGCTGTCCTCTGTGTGTGAACACACACTCTGCTGTGTTTTCTCCTCCAGGCTCCTCTTGATAGTCAGCTCTCTCTCAGCCTCCTCAGCACATGGAGCTCTGGCTGCCTGGATGCGGAGCTTCCCGTCTGGAGCCAGGCAGCAGGTGACGGCTTCAGGGTTCAGTTCTTCAGGCAGATCAAACTCCTGTCTGAACTCCTGGAGTCTGTAAGAGTAGGAGCCCTTCCCGTCCTCCTGTTTCTTCTCTGTCTTCCCACTGACTCTCAGCTTCCTGCCCACCTGCCTGACAGACAGCTCCTCTGGGGAAAAGCCTTGAGTGTCCAGAGTCAGGTTAAAGTGCTCCCCCTCTTTCTCCAGCTGGTAGGAGACTGGCTGCACGGCCACACTGCTTTGGAAAGGCTTCGTCTCCTCCAGGATGTTGTGTTGAAGTTTGTCCATCAGCTCCAGACTGCTGCACAGCTCCTGTAGGTTTCTCTGCAGTCCATCCTGCTGGTAGAGCAGAGGTGTGACCTCTGGCCACAGACTGCGTACAGGCCAGTAGAAGCTGAATGGACTGAGAGCAGACTGGAATCCATGAGAGCACAGCATCTTCAGAGTGGGTTTAGAGTGGAGTCCTCTTGTTGTGAGATGAAACACTGTTACAGTGTCTGTTGTCCTCTGTGTTGCTTGTGTTGTTTCTGTCTCAGCAGTGGGACTGTCCCAGCTTTTATATTCTAACTGGAGGAGCTCCAGAGTCTTCAGGAACTTTCCTGTCGTTACCACAGCTCTCCACTGGGAGGAGCTGTTACTCAGGTCTGCCTATATGACAAGCTAATATTACTGTCTGAGTCAACAAGTGCTCATGAACATAGGTCTGAGGTGAGAGTATCTTTGACAGTCATATTCTATTTCAGAAAACAGTGAACTACAACAAAACTATGTCTGTGATGATCACAGACATTATGATCGATCATGTAAAAGCTCCAGCCAACAAATGACAGGTCATATACTTAAATTAAAGGTGTGGTGTATCCCAGTTGTAACACTCTTCGGATTTAAGTGCCATCCCACTAATGTTACACAAGAGGTTTAGTTTCCTCCTCACACGGAGAAATACTCAGTCTGTGGAAACAGTTGCATGATGTCGTCTGTGGCTCTGCAGCGAGCTTGAAAAAAAGCAACTCTGACGATGTCATCAGGGTCGACATATTCTCAAACTCAGATTATCTCAGACTCAGATGTTTAGATTTTTTTTTCTTTGGATAACATGTTTCTCAGTCCCCAGCTTCATGAAAGTGCAATACTGAAACACTGGAGTGTCCCTTTAATGAACCTGTTTGATCACTGGATTGGAACCAATAGATTCTCATTGGTCTTCACTCTTTAATGGTCATAAACTATAAAGTGTCTTTTCTATCATTCATTTATACGTCAAATGAACAAGGTTTTTATTCCACACTTGACCAACCATAGCTTCACTACCAAGACAAACTTTGTCTGTGAATTTGATTGTTTCTTTATCACTTGACAACAACATGAATGTGTCTGTGATGATAACAGACAATATGATGAACCTGTAAAAATACCAACGTATTAACGCCACCTTGTAGATAATTAGAGTAAATGCATAGCAGATCCAAGTTGTAGCATTATAATGAAGTTGTAAATGAAAGCTTGATGAACCTGTTTGATTAATGAATTTAAGTTTCCATTCTTTAAGTGTCAAACACAGTAAAGTGTCCACGCTAGCATTTCAGGTTCTACTTTTTTGACCTTCAAAGCTAAATTTATAAACCAAGAAAATAAAGAGCAAAATGAAATTATATGGTTTCAACATTTATTTATCATACCTAGTTCTTACATATATGAATGCACATAGAAATATCTACAAAAATCATTTATTACAGATTTTCAAAGCAACACCTGTGCAGTCCATGTGTTCAGGTTTGTCCTGTGTGCTGTTGTCTGTCTCTGTGCTGCTGTCCTCTGTGTGTGAACACACGCTCTGCTGTGTTTTCTCCTCCAGGCTCCTCTTGATAGTCAGCTCTCTCTCAGCCTCCTCAGCACATGGAGCTCTGGCTGCCTGGATGCGGAGCTTCCCGTCTGGAGCCAGGCAGCAGGTGACGGCTTCAGGGTTCAGTTCTTCAGGCAGATCAAACTCCTGTCTGAACTCCTGGAGTCTGTAAGAGTAGGAGCCCTTCCCATCCTTCTGTTTCTTCTCTGTCCTCCCACTGACTCTCAGCTTCCTGCCCACCTGCCTGACAGACAGCTCCTCTGGGGAAAAGCCTTGAGTGTCCAGAGTCAGGTTAAAGTGCTCTCCCTCTTTCTCCAGCTGGTAGGAGACTGGCTGCACGGCCACACTGCTTTGGAAAGGCTTCGTCTCCTCCAGGATGTTGTGTTGAAGTTTTTCCATCAGCTCCAGACTGCTGCACAGCTCCTGTAGGTTTCTCTGCAGTCCACCCTGCTGGTAGAGCAGAGGTGTGACCTCTGGCCACAGACTGCGTACAGGCCAGTAGAAGCTGAATGGACTGAGGGCAGACTGGAATCCATGAGAGCACAGCATCTTCAGAGTGGGTTTAGAGTGGAGTCCTCTTGTTGTGAGATGAAACACTGTTACAGTGTCTGTTGTCTTCTGTGTTGCTTGTGTTGTTTCTGTCTCAGCAGTGGGACTGTCCCAGCTTTTATATTCTAACTGGAGGAGCTCCAGAGTCTTCAGGAACTTTCCTGTCATTACCACAGCTCTCCACTGGGAGGAGCTGTTACTCAGGTCTGCTGATATGACAAGCTAATATTACTGTCTGAGTCAACAAGTGCTCATGAACATAGGTCTGAGGTGAGAGTATCTTTGACAGTCATATTCTATTTCAGGAAACAGTGAACTACAACAAAACTATGTCCGTGATGATCACAGACATTATGATCGATCATGTAAAAGCTCCAGCCAACAAATGACAGGTCATATACTTAAATTAAAGGTGTGGTGTATCCCAGTTGTGACACTCTTTGGATTTAAGTGCCATCCCACCAATGTTACACAAGAGGTTTAGTTTCCTCCTCACACGGAGAAATACTCAGTCTGTGGAAGCAGTTGCATGTCGTCGTCTGTGGCTCTGCAGCGAGCTTGAAAAAAACAACACTGACGATGTCATCAGGGTCGACATATTCTCAAACTCAGATTATCTCAGACTCTGATGTTTTGATTTTTTTTTTTCTTTGGATAACATGTTTCTCAGTCCCCAGCTTCATGAAAGTGCAATACTGAAACACTGGAGTGTCCCTTTAATGAACCTGTTTGATCACTGAATTGGAACCAATAGATTCTCATTGGTCTTCACTCTTTAATGGTCATAAACTATAATGTGTCATTTCAACTATTAATGTATACATTAAATGAACAACCACTGCTTCGCAACTGAGAAAAACTCTATCTATGAATTTAATTGTTTCTTTATCACTTGACAACAACATGAATGTGTCTGTGATGATGAACCTGTAAAAATACCAACGTATTAACGCCACCTTGTAGATAATTAGAGTAAATGCATAGCAGATCCAAGATGTAGCATTATAATGAAGTTGTAAATGAAAGCTTGATGAACCTGTTTGATTAATGAATTTAAGTTTCCATTCTTTAAGTGTCAAACACAGTAAAGTGTCCACGCTAGCATTTCAGGTTCTACTTTTTTGACCTTCAAAGCTAAATTTATAAACCAAGAAAATAAAGAGCAAAACGAAAACATATGGTTTTAACATTTATTCATCATACCCAGTTCTTACATATATGAATGCACATATAAATATCTACAAAAATCATTTATTACAGATTTTCACAACAACACTGTGATCAGTCCATGTGTTCAGGTTTGTCCTGTGTGCTGTTGTCTGTCTCTGTGCTGCTGTCCTCTGTGTGTGAACACACACTCTGCTGTGTTTTCTCCTCCAGGCTCCTCTTGATAGTCAGCTCTCTCTCAGCCTCCTCAGCACATGGAGCTCTGGCTGCCTGGATGCGGAGCTTCCCGTCTGGAGCCAGGCAGCAGGTGACGGCTTCAGGGTTCAGTTCTTCAGGCAGATCAAACTCCTGTCTGAACTCCTGGAGTCTGTAAGAGTAGGAGCCCTTCCCATCCTTCTGTTTCTTCTCTGTCCTCCCACTGACTCTCAGCTTCCTGCCCACCTGCCTGACAGACAGCTCCTCTGGGGAAAAGCCTTGAGTGTCCAGAGTCAGGTTAAAGTGCTCTCCCTCTTTCTCCAGCTGGTAGGAGACTGGCTGCACGGCCACACTGCTTTGGAAAGGCTTCGTCTCCTCCAGGATGTTGCGTTGAAGTTTTTCCATCAGCTCCAGACTGCTGCACAGCTCCTGTAGGTTTCTCTGCAGTCGATCCTGCTGATAGAGCAGAGGTGTGACCTCTGGCCACAGACTGCGTACAGGCCAGTAGAAGCTGAATGGACTGAGAGTAGACTGGAATCCATGAGAGCACAGCATCTTCAGAGTGTGTTTAAAGTTGAGTCCTCTTGTTGTGAGATGAAACACTGTTGCCATGTCTGTTGTCTTCTGTGTTGCTTGTGTTGTTTCTGTCTCAGCAGTGGGACTGTCCCAGCTTTTATATTCTAACTGGAGGAGCTCCAGAGTCTTCAGGAACTTTCCTGTCATTACCACAGCTCTCCACTGGGAGGAGCTATTACTCAGGTCTGCTGGTGTTGCTGGCTCACTCTGGTGTGTTCATGAAATTTCTCATGATGACAGAACTCAAATTGGAGGAGAGTGCAGTTTTCTGAATGTGCAAGTTGTCCTTGGTAATGTTTTGTTCAATCCAAGAAGATTTCTCTCACCAATAGCCTACATGTATGTCATGTTTTTGTCAATAATCCTATAACATAACATAGATCAATATTCTTGTCCTGACTACTTTGATTAGTGGAATTTATTGAACCAAAGTTATTTAGTCATTCATTTAACAATAGCCCATTGAAAGCAAATGGAGAATTCATGATATGTTATCTTTATTTGGAATCTGTCTATTATCTATTCACTTTAATGTATTATAATTTCACTCTAACTGCAGTCATTATGGGGAAAAAATAAAATATATGAGCAGGCTAACCACGTCAGGTTTACTAACCACCATACCCCTACATTTGTTCTATTATTTCACCAAAATCTTCTTAAATAACCTTTTCTGCTCATGTAGGAACACAAACAACCACCATGGGTGGAAATGAACACTGTTGATGGGACAAATCCTCTCAAGGTGGGGGCGGAATCTTATCAGACTGGGTTTCATTGGTTTCACGTGGACCTAAATCCAATCAGTGGGCCCGAGCAATTACTAATAGCTGCATCGTGCACGTCGGTGTGAAGCAAGCTCCAAAAACAACCTCCTTTCCCTTTTTTTATGAATGAAGGCTGAGTTCCCGTGATCCAGTCAGCCAATCGGCAGCTCGCACCTGCAGCCGTTTGCAGCTCTGCAGCAACAAGAGGTCACTACACTTGAAAACGTGGAGGAGAGCGGGGAGTCCACAGTAGCGGCAGCCTGCTGCAGCTTCAGTCCGATCACGTCAGGCCTTCATGCGCACATACATACAGACATTATAGAGGGGCTTTGTTATTTAATCAACAGATTGCAATGTCGCCGAAAGACGGCAACACCGTGGCTCTGGAGAGACGCATGGATCTGGCCTCTCTCTTCTGCATGATCGGACGGCACGGTCCCGCCGTGGCTCTGGCTGTAATAGCGATGGTATCCGTGCTAGCGGGCTTCATCATATACCGGACCGTGAGGGGGAAGCGGAGGAAGGCCACGGCCGCAGCCGCCGACGGCGACAGCAAGAGCCCGGGAGACGCATCGGTGATCCGGCCGGGACTAGAGCCGAGTCCGGAGGAATCGCACAGCTGCGTGGAGTCAACAGGTAAGAGATCCAGATAACGCTTCCACGGGGAGGGAGGCTGCTGCGGGTTACAGGTGTGGGAATCCACAAGTCAGTATATTAACCTATAGCTAAGTAATGATGATTCTGTTTAAGACAGAAGCCGTAGTCTAATATTAAAACCGAGCTAAGTGCTGAGGAATATCTTATATGAGCCCTGTAGGAAATACAGTACCACACAGACAACATAGGCTATAGCCTTTTAACAGGGCACTCAAAATAATATTAATTTGTAGGCTGGTTACAGTGATACCGTAGAAGACAAAAATAGATGATCATAACGTGCTATAAAGCCATTATTAACGCTGAGCCATTTGTAATAATATGACCTCATTCTGTTCCAAACACATTTAAGCGGATAGAAATTCATCCACTAATGTTGGTTACCGTTTGTCAGTGATGGGGTGTAACTTTGATTTAAATTTGAGCCATGAACCTTACTTGAGTATTTCCATACTCTACTCCACTACATCTAAGAAGGAATAAATGTATGGCTACTTCTTACCTCTACATTTATGTGACGGAGTTATTAGTTTCTTTCCAGATTAAGACTTTATGAACTAAACATAAAATATGATGTTGTAAATTAAGTATATACTAGTAATAGTTCAAATTGGATCAAACTGTCCAACTATAACAGTAAAAACGCTGCTCACATATCACACTCATCAGTTAAAATAATCCAGAAATATACATATAGGCTATAATTACATAACACCTACAGAGGCCGTTTTCCTGTATAATGTGTACTTTTATATTTGACACTCATAGTTTGTTAATAATGCAAAAATAGATTTTAATTAAATGTCTCTTGGTTTGTTAACACTAAATAAAAACAAATAAAACCTAGAAATTCATCAAAAAAGAAAGTATATTAGTTGATAATATTAGTGTAAAGTATATTACGTTTTTTTTGTTAGTAATAAATTCTTATTAAGTTTTATAATCCTGTGAATTAATTACATAAAAATGCAAAATTAAAGTTAAAACCATTTATTCTTTTACAGATGTGAGTGATGAAAGTTCATCAGACATGAAGGAGGACGCTGATTTATTTCAAAGTGATCTACAAATCAGACATCGCCGTGCCACTGCTGCTGCCCCTGCCCCTACTGCTGAGATACCTCCACCATACTCTCCTCCTCAGAGTGACATCCAAATACCAAACAACAAGCACACCACTTCAGATGGCACAGAGGAAATGACAGTTGTGCAGGACTCTGACAAAGTGGCAGAGGCCAGTTCCGACCTGCAATGTGATACTTACACAGTGGCTAAAATGGAGGTGGAGGGTGCTGGTGATTGCCAGCAGGATGCAACAGATGACACTGTTAAGGATGTAATAGAAGAGGTCCGTGGTAATGATAGCTGCTGGAAGGAGCCTGAGCTGATTAATGATGAGAGCCACGAGGAGGAGGAGAAAGTAAGCAGCCATTTTATTGCAAGATATTGAGAAATTAAAGTCATAGCTGGTCAGTTTGATTAATAGCTGAAAGGACATTTTAGGAAGTTATATATTGGCATGGATAAATGCAGTAATATTGCTCAATTGATTGGTTGTACTAGAGTGTGACTGGGCATACCATAATCAATGCTTTTATATTAATAATCAATCAAATGGCCATGTGCAATGGCATATGCAGCAAATAGCAGATTGGACAAAGTTAGCAATTAGCCGGTGAACAAAGTGGAACATCTGGCAGTTAAAGAGT